CCATTTTGTCCAACTATATCAAGTTACAACTAATCATAATGGTTATATGTGAACGCTTCTAACAAGGTTGTTGCCTAGATGTATACAAAAAAAAAGTTACCAAAATGTGAACAAAGCAAAATTGTAATATAATGATAACTCACTTTCCTATCTTTTTTTTTATTTTACCTTTTAATTTTGATTTGGAATAAAATTTACTGTTTGCACACCATTTTGGTAAATATATTTTTTTAAAATACACTATTTTGAAAAAATAAAATGAAAAAACTCTAAATTTGATAAGGAAAAAGATATTGTCATTTTATAGAATTTTATCGTTTAAGATATTAAATATAAAAATTAAAATTAGTAAAGACTAAAAGTAACAGATATGATAACTAATAACATAAAAAAACACCATCTTTAATGAAGTTTGCTCAATTTACTATTGGAAATTAAAATAGGAAAATCTCCAATAAAATCCTAAAAATTTAGCCTGATTTATGTTTTAGTCATAAACTAATTTTTGTTTACGAAAAAGTCCCAAAAACCGGTAAAAGTTTGTATTTTGACCATTTTTCACTGGTTGGAACCGGTAACAAATTAATTTGGGACTATTTCATAAATTGACCCAAAATATCGGGATTTTTCTACAAAAACAAAAAATATTAGGGTTTTTCTGCAAACAAAAACCTTATTATTATAATTATTATTATTATATTAAAAATATAAGTAATTATACTACTATTTAAATTTGTTATTATTAATATTCTTAATAATACATATAAATACATTTAAATTAAAAAATATTAAAGACATTTTATAAAAGTGAAGGTTGAGCGGATGGTAATGCTTTAAATTTTGAAATCATGAATGCCTGTTTGTATATTCTAACTTTGTATATGATCATTTCACATTTGTTTTTTTTGTTAAATTCAAAATATTAACATTTAACAATTTAAAAAAATATACTGATTTTTCAAATTGTTTACAAATAGTGAGCATGTGATATGCGTGTATGTCTTGTGTGTAAGTATTTGAATTACCAACATGTGTGTTGCTCCTTTCATTACTTTATCCTTGTGGTTTTTTGAAAACATAGCAGATATAGTGTGATAAAGCAAAACAAGTCATATTACTTTCTATTAAATAAGATATTTTAATTAATATTTTCGAATTTTGATATCGGCCACCAATGTAAATATTTATTGTGGATCTGTTGGATTTGAAAAGAAATCATTCTACCTTAAGAAATTTTATATACAAAGTGAGAAATCATTTTATCTTAAACTATTTATACACAATTTTACAAATAGGAAACTTCTTTTTAATTGTTAAGTGTTAATATTTTGAATTGAAAACAATAATAAGAAATGTGAAACGATCATATACAAAGTGAGGACATACAAACAGATATTCATGATTTCAATGCTTAAAGCATTTACATCACCACCACCTTCACCTTTAAATAATTTCTTTAATATATTTTTTATTTAAATGTATTTATATGTATTATTTAAAATATTAATAATAATGAATTTAAAAATTAGTATACTTGTTTATATTTTTAATATAATAATAATAATAATAATAATAATAATAATAATAATAATAGTAATAATAATAATATGATTTTTGTTTGCAGAAAAATCCTAATATATATATATACATATATATATATATATATATATATATATATATATATATATATATATATATATATATTGCATAAAAGTCTCAATATTTTAGATCATTTTGTGAAATAGTCCCAATATTTTAGATCAGTTTATGAAATAGTCCCAAATTAATTTGTTGTCGGTTCCAACCGGTCAAAAATGGTCAAAATGTATACTTTTACCAGTTTTTAGGACTTTTTCGTAAACAAAAATTAGTTTATGACTAAAACGTAAACCGGATCAAAATTTTAGAACTTTATTGGAGATTTCCCTTTAAGATACAAAAAATATAATTAACTTTTATGTACATTGAAAGTTTTACTCTTTGTCTCTAGTATATAAAGAGCTATTTAATAATTATGCTACAAAAAACAATTCTCAAGGCAATTTAAATGTTCATAAATTGCCATAAATATTGGTTTAAGAAAATTTAACCGAGTCTATTAATATTGCAAACATTATAATCGTCCGTCTTAATAAAAAGAGAAATTGATTTATCAGAGTAATTATATTTCCGTTTTGTGTACATCTGTGTAACTTTTTAATTTTGTACTAATTTTGTATATATGTAGGTAATGAACTTGTTGGAAGTCTTTACATATAACTATTATTACCAGTTGTAACTTGCTACTGTCGGTCATAATGATCATATATGAACATTTCCAAAAAGCTTGTTACGTATATATGTACAACAAAAATTATCTAGATGTGAAAAAAAAAATGAGAATTACCTTAATAAGATAAAACAATTTTATAACTTAGATACACGATTTACTATAACTAAAAAAGAACCAAATATGAAGTCTTTTTTTATTTTGTATTTAAAATTGAAGAACAAGTGAATCGGTGTAGAATGTGGTTAGTGGTGTCTGATTTTTTTTTTAATCGAAAAATATAATATATAATATACTTCTAAATTAACACATAAATTCACCTACGTCCACAACAGGATTTGAACCTTCAATCTTAAGGAGGAAGGACACTACCTGATACCGCTGAGCTAGAAGACTTTGGTAGTAGTGTCTGATTGATAAGGCATTTCGAGACTCTCCATATAAATTTATTAAAGAATTGCGAGAGTTCTTCCAATTTTCAACCCAATTTGTTTACAAATATAGTATAATTTATCTATTACTTTTTTTAGACACTATTGTTCTCAACTTGCTTATTGTTTACAAATATAGTATAATTTATCTATTACTTTTTTTAGACAGTATTGTTCTCAACTTGCTTATATTTATTTTATTATTTTCGAAGGCATATATTTACATACACCTATTATTTTATTTTTAAATCTATATCTTATATTTTTTTATTATTTTAAAAGGCATATATTTACATACATCTATTATTTTATTTTTAAATTTATATCTTTTATTCATAACGAGACTTGAATCATTAATGTTTAACCGATAAATTTTTATTTATCAAGATAGCTTTGGGGTTTTTTTTTTTTTTTTTTTTCTTGACATGTTTTATTCCAAATATACATGTTATGGAGCACAATACGAATAAGTAACTTTTACTTTTGTTATGTCTACATGCTGTTATCATTTGTGCTTTTTTGTTTATCTACTTGTAACCTTTTGACCAAGTCAAAGTGGAGATTGCATGGAATTTGTGGTGTAATAATATTCCGGGGTCAATAGTGTTGCCTGTAGGGATGAGAAATTGGGCCGAAAACTCGAACCGAACCGAGAACTGAACCGAACCGAACCGAATAAGACCCGAATAAGTAATTCGATTCGGTTTTCGGGTATCTTTATATGGCTTATTCGGTCCGGGTAACCCGAATAAGGATTTATTCGGTCCAAAAAACCGAACCGAATATGAATCGTCTATTATCAAAATCGTGATGCCGTGAGCCGTGAATCGAATAGGGACTCCTTCTCGGTCGACGTCTCAACTCTCGAGTCTTAACAATTATACCAGTCGATTCCTTAAATCTTAATCCTAATAGCGGGTAAACCAAATCACAATTGCAATTAGGCTTTGATTGACGTCTCAAGTCTCATCGAAAGTGGTTGATCAACATTCGGATTATTCTATTCCTTCTCAGTCGACGTCTCAACTTGAAGAACATTGGAATTCGGATTGTTGGTGCCGATTTCTCAACATTCGATTCCTTCTCAGTCGACGTCTCAACATTCGGAACTCGGATTGTTGGTTCTACTTCTTGCTGGCCGACATACTTCTTGAATCGTCTTCCCATATTGTTTTGTAGTTTATACTTGATAAAACTCCATTCAACTCATGGAAAATTGGGTTCCAAATCAAGATACACAAGTAAGTATTTGTATCTTAATCTACTACTCATTGAAAATTGAATAAGAGAATTTAATGAAAATAACCATATATGTTCTTTAACTTGTGTTATTCCATATTGATTTATTTATTTAAATGCTATTATGCTTTAGATGTATGATGAATCTATTTTGTTATTATGCTTTGGATTGATGATGAAAATGTATTTGTTGATAACACACAAGTTGAAGGAACAAGTCAAGCAACAAACCCGAAGAAAAGGAAATATGCCCAAAGGACGGCTTGTTGGAACGACTATGATGTACTTCATATTGACAAAGTTAGACATAGCAAATGCAAAAAATGTGGAACTTTGCTCAAAACCGAATCCGGCGCAAACGGTACGTCTAGTATGATTAAACATACGGAAAGATGTAAAATGAACCCAAAAAATTTAGAAAAAAAACTAGAAAACCAAACCACTTTAAATTTCAAAAAAAATGAAAACGGAGAGAATAGTATTGGGACTTGGAAGCATGATGAGAAAAGAATAAAAAAAGCTTTGTTAAACTTATTTGTAGTTTGAGAATTACCATTCAAGTTTGTAGAGAACGAATCATTTATTGAGTATACAAATGCATTGAACGGGAAAGTAATTTTGCCATGTAGAACCACAATTTCAAATAGAGTTACCGATTACTTTCTTGAAGAAAAGGCTAAGTTATTTAAGTTCTTCAATAATCCCCTAAGTAATGTGCATTTGACGACCGATTGTTGGACAAGCTCATGTCAAAGGTCGAGCTATATGGTGGTCACGGCCCACTTTATTGATGAAGATTGGGTCATGCATAAAAGAATTATCAACTTTAAATCTCTAGATAGTCATAAGGGAGAAGACATTGGGCGCACGTTGTTGACTTGTCTTCAAGAGTGGGTATCAATAACGTAATGACCATAACCGTTGACAATGCTAGTGCAAATGACAAAGCAATCGAAATTCTAATGAAAAAGCTACCAAACTTGTACGATGGGGGGAAACAATTACACGTAAGGTGTATGGCACACATCCTTAACCTTATTGTTAGGGATGGGTTTGATCAACATCAATCTAGTATCAAGTGCATGCAAAAGGCCGTTAAATATATTAGGAATTCTACACAACGGATTTAAAGGTTCAAAGAATGCATGAAAGAGCTAAATGTGGAATCCAAAAAGTTTTTGTGCAATGATAGCCCAACTCGATGGAACTCCACATACGAGTTATTGAAGATTGCGGTGGAGTTGGAGAAGGTTTTTGGCATGTTTGAAGTCAAAGGTAATTTCATATTCCATTCCATTGTTTCCTTTCCTTTTTTTTTTTTTTTTTTTTTTTTTTTAATTTTATATTTCAGCATTTTTACAAATTTTTAGCCAACTTTGAAGAGTCATAACATGTTCGTTATTTGTCCGATTAGGCCGATTTTTTTTCCAGCTTGTAGTTTACAATTTGCACTACAGTTTACACTATTTATAAACGTTATTTGGTTGTATATTCAGTGAGTTATAGGCCTCTAAACATTGGATATTAATTCTGAGTTTCTGTTTCAGCATTTTTCCAAAATTTTAGCCAACTTTGAAGAGTCATAACGTCTTCATTATTTGTCCGATTAGCCTGATTTGTTTTCCAGCTTGTAGTTTACAATTTGTACTACAGTTTACACTATTTATACACGTTATTTGGTTGTATATTCAGTGAGTTATAGGCCTCTAAACATTGGATATTAATTCTGAGTTTTTCTGTTTCAGCATTTTTCCAAAATTTTAGCCAACTTTGAAGAGTCATAACATCTTCATTATTTGTCCGATTAGCCCGATTTTTTTTTCCAGCTTGTAGTTTACAATTTGTACTACAGTTTACACTATTTATACACGTTATTTGGTTGTATATTCAGTGAGTTATAGGCCTCTAAACATTGGATATTAATTCTGAGTTTTTCTGTTTCAGCATTTTTCGAAAATTTTAGCCAACTTTGAAGAGTCATAACGTCTTCATTATTTGTCCGATTAGCCTGATTTTTTTTCCAGATTGTAGTTTACAATTTGTACTACAGTTTACACTATTTATACACGTTATTTGGTTGTATATTCAGTGAGTTATAGGCCTCTAAACATTGGATATTAATTCTGAGTTTTTCTGTTTCAGCATTTTTCCAAAATTTTAGCCAACTTTGAAGAGTCATAACATCTTCATTATTTGTCCGATTAGCCCGATTTTTTTTTCCAGCTTGTAGTTTACAATTTGTACTACAGTTTACACTATTTATACACGTTATTTGGTTGTATATTCAGTGAGTTATAGGCCTCTAAACATTGGATATTAATTCTGAGTTTTTCTGTTTCAGCATTTTTCCAAAATTTTAGCCAACTTTGAAGAGTCATAACGTCTTCATTATTTGTCCGATTAGCCCGATTTTTTTTCCAGCTTGTAGTTTACAATTTGTACTACAGTTTACACTATTTATACGCGTTATTTGGTTGTATATTCAGTGAGTTATAGGCACCTAAACAAAGGGTATTAAAGTCGTTCAACATTTGTATATTCAGTGAGTTATAGGCTACTAACATTTACTTTATTATAATAGATCCTACATTTGTTCGAGACGTTTTGACCCCATCAAAAGAAGATTTCAACATTTGTAGAGCTATGGTTGGATTTCTTGAGAAGTTCAAGGTGAAAACCGACATAGTATCGACGTCAACAAAACCGATGGCACATCGGTTTTTTGGAGAAATATGTGATGTGTACAAACACATTAAGGAATGGGCGGCTAGTCCCCAATTTTGTTTGATCGGGAAGGACATGATTGATAAATACGATAAGTATTGGGGCGATCTTGAAAAATTAAATGACTTTTTGTATTTTGCGGTCATATTAGATCTACGGTTCAAATTTGATTTTCTTCAACAAGCTTTTGAGAAGTTGATTAAGTTGAAGAATCCACAAAAAGATCCTATGCTCAACTCGGAAGTCATTTTGAAGGCTAAGGTCTTAATACGGGGTCTTCAACAAAGATTTGAGAATTTTTTTTATTACTACAAATCAAAGTTTGACAATACCGACTCTTCTCAAAATCAAACACATGGTCATGAAGATGTAGTTGTGATTGATGATGAGAATGACTTCATGGGTGATTTAATAGTTTAAACTGATTACCCATCAGCATCAATGGAAACAGAGTTGACACGATACCTAAACGAGCAGTCAGTTAAATACAATAAAGATTTTGATATTCTACTTTGGTGGAAACAAAATGCATCTCGTTACCCTATTGTATCCCGTATGGCGAAAGCTATAACTTTATTTTTTGTATACTTTTTTTTTATAATTATATTTTAACATTTTCTATGTTTATACTGATAGATATTTTGGGACTGCAAATATCTACTGTGGCGTCAGAGGCGGCGTTTAGTATAAGCGGGCGGATATTGGATCCATATAGAACAAATTTGTCTGCAAATATAGTAGAGGCTTTGGTTTGCACTCAAGATTGGGTAAGGAAATCAAGAAAGCAAATTGTGGACAACATTGATGAAATTTTGAAAGACGATGAGGTCGCGAAAGCTTTAGAAAATGCGATAAAGAACGGAGATGGAAAGGGAAAACAACCAATTAATATTCTTGAATAGTTAATTCGTATCTGAAAAATGTTATTTTGGATATCGGATAAAAACTTAAGATTCATATTTTTATTAGGGTGTTGAATGTTTAATGTTTAACGTATATACTTATGGATAGATTTTTGGGTGTTTAATTTTTAGTGTTTAATTTGTTTCTTTAAAAGGTTTGTTATGAAATCATAAGCTACAAAAGTCATAAAAATACAATATTTATTCGGGTTATTCGACTCCTTAACAAAAACACAAAGTAATACAAAATATTTGGGTTATTCGGGTTATTCGGGCTATTAGGGTTATTCGGGCTATTAGGGTTATTCGGGTTATTCGGGTTATTCGACTCCTTAATCATCTTACACAGGTTATTTGGGTTATTCGGGTCGGAACCGAACCGAACCGAATAATACCTGAACCGAACCGAACCCGTATTGCTTATTTGGTTCGGTTTTCGGTTCATACAATTACCCTTATTCGGTTTTTGATTTATTCGATTCGGTTCGGTTCCGACCCGATTAACATCCCTAGTTGCCTGTACCCGGTGTCCCGGTTCGGTAATCATTTAAGATATTTTTGTTTTGGTTTTAATCTAATTAAAATATAAATGGTTAATGTAGTTTAATATAAGACCACACGCGAAGATTGATTTTAATCAATTTATTATAGAAAGCATAATAATCAGTTTTATCGTTATTAACAAATTTAAATAAATATAATGGATGATTTGATTATTAAAATATGTCGGTCGATACAAATACAATTAAATCAAGAACGGAATGATTTGTTTATTTATTATTATTATTTTATAAATATAAAAGATTGTTTGTATTTGTTATTTTATTTCTTAGGGAGATTCTCTTCATTTTATCGGTAAATGAAATAAAAGCTTATAACATAACTCAGTTTTATATATATGTATTTTAAAGTAATAATTTTTTTTTTCTAAAAAGAAATAGGAAAAATACATCCAATCTTGGTTTTATTAAAGTTTTGTTAGTTATCAAATGATGCACACAATGGAACTAAAACTATGAATACTCTATTTACATATAATTTTAAAAAAAAAAAAAAATCATATTTCAAAACCAAAACAAATACTTGTGGCATGGGGAATAAGAATATTGTACACACTACACATTATTGTTAATGGTCAGTATCATAATGACACGATTACCATATGGGATGTCTAATAGTACATATCTCTCCCTATATAAACAATGTCTATGTGTTGATACTTCTTATTGTGGTTCTATGGGAATCAACACTTGCTAAAACATATCAAGAGAGGAAACCAACCACTTATGGCCTCCAACAACATGCCAACATTGAGTGTTTCCACAAACGAGCTTGAAGCCTTATTCGCTAAAGTTAGAAATACACAAAAACAAATTAAAAACAAAATATATCGGCTTAAAGATGATATAGAAAAATCTTTCATGGAGATCAAAAGTATTATTGAAGACAACTCCAACAAACTTATATCTGCTTTTTCCAAAAGTCGTAAAAGAAAACTTGTTGATCATAACATAGGAACCAATTTTGTTGATATTGAGAAAGACTTTGAATTAATGTTTGACCAATTTGAGTCGTCAGTGACTTATATTGATAATTTGATGACATTGAGTGATTTGACTAATAAAATGACCAAAGAGCAGAATGGTCGAAGTAGAGATGGTTGGATTGGTCGACGTGTACCTCAGTTTTTACAAAAACTGTATGCCATTGTAGAGAAAGAAGAAAACAATTATTTTGTTTCATGGAACCTCCCTAATCGTGATAGTTTCATCATTCGAGACATTAACGAGTTCGCGACTCAAATTCTTCCAAAGTATTTCAATCATGCAAACTTTAGTAGCTTCAACACACAACTCAACATATATGTAAGTGTCAAATGAGAAATTGATACACTTGATTTTAAAATCAAATTTATCCATGTGTAAATATAAATTGCATAAGAATGTCTTCATAAAAACCAACATATTCCTAGCCATATCCGTTTCACTTCTTGAAGTTGAAAAGTTATTTTGATGTCATAAATTATAAGAGTATAAAATCTTTGATGAATTCGTGACTTTTTGAAAAGGGGAAATCTTAAGTGCATTTATATGTTACTTTATTTCCATTGTGATAATATTTCTTTTACTTATGATGGATGGTTTTCTAACTATTATTTTGGTTTGTCTCAAAGGGTTTTAGCAAGATCAGTTGGGAACGTTATGAATATGCGAATGAATGGTTTCAAGGAGGAAGATACGATTTGTTAGTGAATATTAAGAGAAGAGAGAAAAATCCACTATTGACTCGTTCAACTATAAAGTTTTCTTTACTACAAGTAAAAATGTTCAAGGACCAATTGAAAACTATAGAACAAGAGCAAGAGAACAAGATCACTTGTCTCTCAAACTATGAAGAACAAATGAAAAGTTTAGTACATGAGTCTAAGGAAAAAGTCATCAACATGGCAAACATTGTCAATAAAATGATACTAACAAACAACCAATACATTGAAAACATTAAGAGACCAAAAATGGACATTGAAGACAACGTTATAGGTAACATATATCTTTCGCATTCAAAATATTACATTTATACATGATTCCGACTGTGCTTTTTGTTTTTCCAATTAATTGGCACGATAGATTTTTTTTTAATTTATTTGAAAAAAATAAGGACGTACTTGGAAATGGAAAGAACAACTAAATGATGGGAAATTTATAAAACTTAGGATTGAAGGAGAAAACTTTATCTCCTTGACTTTCTCTATTAAGTCGTTATTTCTGCATTAAGCCGAAAAAACATCCATAAAATATGATTGATGGTTTGTTTCTTTGTGAAAATATGATCTTGTAGGAAAAACAAAAGGACATGATCAGGATGTTGATGAATCGGACATGACATCAATTAATAAGGTTGAAGCACCAACTTATCTTCTAGATCTGGATATTGAAGACACTTGGTTTCTATAAAAAGTATCATTTACCTTAGAAGAGAAAGTGAGACAGAAAAAAAAAAAAGTTGAGTCGTGATGATGTTTAATTCGTATTTCGTAGGATATGTTAGTATCAATAATATGTCTTAATATAAAAAACAATGCCCTATGAATCATTTGATGGATCTAAATATTAAGGAATGTTTGCATGTATCTTTTAAGATGATTATTGTTATATTCATGAAATTAAAACTATATAACCTCTAGTTGAATAGTGAATGGTCAAACAAAATATTCAAAACAATCTCATTAAACAGCCACCAAATTTCAATCTTATTTCATTGTTATGAAATTTTGTACCATTATATAAATAAATGATTGAACATTAATACATTATGATAAACATTCCTTTATATGTTTACACACAACTCCAAAAAACAAGAAAAACTCACATAATATGCTCACATTTGCTTATTTGTTGCAAAAGTGCATTAGCTTTCCTTTGAGCTCTACTCGTTCCCGATTTACTCAACTCCACCAAATCATCATAAACATCATATTGAAGTGCAGCCAAAATCAAACACGATTTATTCATCCCAAGTTCAAGAAGAACAGCAGTTGCACACTCCTTGTTCTTCGGTGTCCCATCTTTGACAAACCCTACAAGCATCTTGATCACGGGCAGCTGCCCGAGCCCGGTCACCCCTTCGGGCTGTTTAGCAAGAAGTGAAAGAATCGATAAAGCTTCATCAACCATTCCTAAAGACTTCTCATTCAAAATTCTCACCAATGGTTCGATAATTCCAGCTTTTATAGCTCTAGTCTTGTTCGATTGATTCAATGAGAGATTAAACAACGCAGTTGCAGCATCTTTTTTCCCTCGAATTGACCCGTTTTGTAGAAGTTTGACCAATGGTGGAATCCCTTTTAAAGAACCAATCATCACCTTGTTTTCATTCAACATCGAAAGACTAAATAAAGTTGCAGCGGAGTTTTCTCTCGCTTCATCTGTTCCATTTTGAAGAACTTCAATCACAGCAGGAATCGCACCTTCACGTGCTATCAATCTTTTATTTGATTCATCGAGTGATAGATTCAACAACGAAGTGACTGAATGTTCTTTGACTTTATGATTTCGGGAGTATAAAAGTTTGACCAAAGGCGGGATTGCTCCAGAATTCGCAATCAAGATTCGGTTTTCTGGGTTTTCTTTTGAGAGCATTCGGATCTTTTCAACAGCTTGAGTTTGTGTAGCGAGTTGACTCGATGATAGGTTTTGAATCAGTGAAGAAAGCTCGTCCATGAATGCGTTTTGGTTTTCTGAAATTGAGAAGCTTTCCTTTTTTGGTAACTCGAAGTTGTTCTTCTCACACCATTGAAGAATCAGATTGCGAAGTGCAAAATTGGGAGCGAGTGCTAAGTGAGTCAATATCTCACCGGTTTTTGGACATGTTCTATGAGTGTTCAACCATTTTTGGATGCTTTCTCTTTCGTATGTCTACAAATTTTTGGAGAAAACGATTTCAGATTTCAGAATCTAAAATATAAAATTTTTAAAATTATGTAGTTACCTGTCCAGTCGCAATGATAACAGGATCTGTCATGATCTCAAGAGATATCGGGCAAAGAAATTCATGTGGGATAAGCATAGATCGACACCTGTCAAAGCAGCTTAATGATGAAGAATCATCAAAAGCTTTATTTCCACCATTAATGTCGTCTAAACCTGCAACTTTTTTGAATTTTTTCAAAAGATCGACAATTTGTTCGGTGCTTTCTACGTGCTTTGTGGGACCTCGTTCCTTCACAAGCTTTTTAACTGCAACTGTTTCGATTTCCAAGTCGCTAATTGAATATAAATCTAGTCTTTTTGCTAGTCTTTCTAATATTGCAATATCCGCATTTCTTTCGTCATTTTTTGAGAAAATTACCATCATGTCCATGGCGAGTTCTATGTCTAATGTATCCGTTCTCCTTTTTGCTCCTTGAAGTTGCTTTCGTAGTAGCTCGATCTATGAACATCAAAATCAAAAACTCAATCGCTATTTACGAATCTTTTGATGATGATGATGATGATGATGATGAAAATGGGGATTGGGGAGGGTATTTTCGTCTTTTACACAATAAGAGATAAGGGGAAAGTCATAGTCATCAAAATTTTGCATAAATTCTTTTCGAATTTAGAATGTGACATTATGTTTAACTATGTAACAAGCGTTAAGTTGAAAAAATTCATATCAATTGAGTTTGAAAACTAATATTTTTGTCTTTTAATAAGAAAATATTTTATTTGATAATAATGCACACTTTACCAAAGTTGAAAAATAGCAAACAAACTATGTATATGCTATGAATTTGGTCTAGTAATACTTAAAAATCTAAAAAACTCTTTAAGTTGAAAAATAGAATGTTTGACCTTGAAAAGTCAAATCTCAAATCTTTGAATCGCCAGGGAATTGTTGCATACTTGCATGTGCAAATGAACATCAAGCGCTTCGTTTTGGTACGAATAATTTTATTAATAATCAAATAAAGTTATACTAAATGCATGTTACAAGTCATGTTACACGTTATTTACTTTTTTTTTTTTTTAATTTATTCCAAGCAATTTCACTTTCATATTTTAACATTTGCACTTTTTATACGAATATATTCAGCAATTTCATCTAATTTATCATCAATTTGCAGTTGTTCGTCACGAATTATCTGCTTTAAATCATCTAAAATAACGATTATAAGGGTAAAGAATTTACTTGTTCTTGAACTTCTTCAGAGATCCCAAGTTCTTGATACTTCAATCCATCTAAAGCTTCATTTAATTTATCATACACATTAAGAAATCTACTCATCATCGCATCGCTCTCCAATGCCTGAAAAGTTTACAAAAAAAAAAAAAAAGTTAGCGATTTGACATAAATACCCTTCTGAGATCTTGAAATAAAGCTTGTAATTAGCGAGAGGAATGACCAGAAAGATCTTGCTTCCGAAATTGCAATGCTTTAGCAATTTCTTTGCAGAAAGAAGTGCCTTCTTCAAAGTGACGAAAGATTGAAATGCCCTTGTGGGAATTGATTGATTCATCTCTTTGATTTCTTCAAAAAGTGGGATCAAAAGCTTCAATCTTCTTACGAGCTTTAAACACTCTTTTCTCTGTGTTCTTCGAAACCCCATGTAAGATCCCACTGTTTCAATAATTTCGATCATTTCTGCTACCAAATCATTGCTCTCGTCGCCTTCATTACTTCTCAAAATCTCCATTTTTGAGTTCTCCATGGCCATCAACAATCAAGATTCAAGATTCGAGATTCGAGGTAAAGTTTCGAGCTTTAAAAGCTAACTTTCGAGGAAAGTGGGTTTTCTTCTTTGGGTCTTAGCTGGTTGATTTCAAAGAGAAAAAAAAAAAAAGAAAAAAAAAATGAGGATAAGAAGGGGAGTGAAAGCAAAGGCACCGGTAATTGGCGGCCCCATTTAGGCATTTATAGATATCTTTTATGTCCAAAACCTCATTTTCCACTACCGATTTTTCGAATCTTCTTAGAGATTTATTATTGGTTTTCTAATATATAATGATTTAAAATAGTATTTATGTTTGTCTTTTATATTTTAGCTGTAGCATTTTATTTATAATATTTGTTACTAAGGCCGTAGGGAGTGGCTGCGGTTTCAAACCGTGGTTTTGCTATATGGATATGGAACACTGTCTCTTGGGTGCAGTTTTCAGCAGTTTAGGCTGCAGTGTAGCTAAAAACTACTGTGAATTATGATTGGTTGGGTTTTTTTTATTGTCCTTGCGTTTGATTTATTTATTTATTTATTTATTTTTTATTATTTTTTTTAACTTATGCTACATATACTTACCATTTTTTTACAAAATACGTTATGCAAATCGTAGCTAATTTCTAGTTTTTTGTTGTTGCAAATCTTGGTTAATTTCTAGTTTTTTTTTTAAGTTTTTAATCATTTTTTTTTTTAAGCTGTAGGTTTGATGTTTCTAATTTGTTTTTCTAAATTTTTAGGTTTTTTTTTTAAAGTTAAGCAATGTATGACATTTTTATTTTTAATTAATAAAATATTATCTTTTTAAAAAAAATAAAGATTTTATCCATTAAAAAATTAATAAAATAAACCCAAGTAATGCAATGTAATGTTTTTTTGTTTTGAAGTATTGAAAAAGTATATTTTTTTTTTATTAAAAATGAAGTTCTATTTAATTAAATTATTTATATATATATAAAAAAAGAATATGGCACCACTCCTTGGGTGTGACAAGAAACCACAATTATGTGGTAAAAAATGATGTGGTGCACATGTGACAGTGAAGGGAGTGCGATTTCGGTAGCACCACTCCCTCCAACCTAAGGAATACTTTTTGAGTTAATGACTTAAAATCATGAGGAGGCCCAATATAACTAGAAAACACTTTCTTCTTTCGTTACAAAATGACTACCGAATCGTGAATCAATGCTTGTATTTTGTTTTTTTTTTTTCTTCAGTTTCTCAACAAATATATCATTAGAAACAATCGATGATGAATAATATGGTTATACATAGGATATCATCGATATATCCATGTAAGTTGTTTAAAGCTTTTAAACTTTCATCTATATAGACACTCACAAAGGTAATATTTACTCACTGGTTTGTCATTCACAAAGGTAATATCCACTCGCTAGTAATTTTCATCAATATATGACTTGATTTCAAACTGTAACAACCCGGAATTTCCAGGTATTTATTATTGGTACTTTTGGAGAATTGTGAGTGGACTCGGCGAGTTGGAGCTCAAACTCGCCGAGTAGGATCGCGATTTTGGACGCGGGTTCACATCTGGACTCAGCGAGTCCACGTTGTGTAATGAAACCCTAATTCCCAAGGTTTGAGACCTATTTAAAGGGGCTTATGGCGATCATTTGCGGCCACCAACCCCTAGAGAGAAACCCTAAAGAGATTTGAGCGTTTTGGGAGAGAAAAGAGGCTATTATTGATAGGGATGGCAAAAAAAACCCGAACCCGACAAGAAAACCCGAACCCCGAAGATTTTGGGGCGGGTCGGGTCACTCTTATCGGGTTTCGGGTCGGATTTCCGGTCATTATCGGGTTTTTAGTTCGGGTTCGGGTCAGGGAGTGGGGTATGCATGCCCCGACCCGAAAAATTATATATATATATATATATATATATATATATATATATATATATATATATATATATATATATATAAATGAGATTTCATCCCTCTAACCCATTTCAGCCACCCAAAGACTCTAACCTTCAATCCCATCACGTATTCCTAATTTCTCACTATTGTGATGAATTTAGTTACGATATTAGACTTTAGTAATTTCTATTTGGTTCACTTATGTTAAGAACTTATTTGTATTTTAAGCATTTGTAAGGTTTTAATTTCTCAATTGTTTCATTGTAGTTTTCCTAATTTTTTCTGCCACCATTTTCGGGTCGGGTTTCGGGTCTATATCGGGTTTCGGGTTTCGGGTCGGGTTCGGGGATATTTTTAGCCCCGACGAGGCGCCCCGATAAGAAACCCGTCGGGTTTCGGGTCGGGTTCGGGGACAAATATAAATATCGGGTTCGGGTATGGGATATGCCGCCCCGCCCCGAACCCGCCCCGTTGCCATTCCTAATTATTGACCTTTGGAGCTTGGTTTGGCAAGGCAAAGGAGATTCCAGCTAAGAGAAGGCAAGGGAAGTGGACATTCTGCGATTTTGGAGCTCAGAGCATCATCTTAGAGGTATATCTTGGCTTCCTTTTTCGTTTATATGATGAACATGGGGGTTTAGGGTTTCTTGACCCCTTTGTTAGCTAGATTTGATGTCCATTTCGTCCCTAATCATGATAAGGCTTGATATGAGATCCATAGAGGTCCAGAAGAGCTGTATTCCTTAAGCTTTATGAGGGTTCATGAGAGTATTGGCCTAGGGTTATGAGATATGGGACTAAAACATCATTTATGAGCAAATAGTTGTTGTTTGAGCCCCAAGGTTTGGACTTTACGTGATTATCATGCTTGGGGAGGCCAGATCTATGAATGTATGGAACATATCTGACCTCAGAAGTGAGTTTGAGTTGATACATGGCATGGACTCACCGAGTCTGAAGAACAGACTCGGCGAGTAGCATGAAGATTGCCCAGCACCACTCAACGAGTGGTCTTGCCGAGTTGAGGGATTGACTCAGTGAGTCAGGAAGAGTCAGAGTGGGTTGACAGGTGGACTGAGTCAAGCTAGGACTCACCGAGTTGTTCTTGAGACTCGGCGAGTTGAGTCGTGGAGGCCCCACAACTCATGCCAGGTGGAACTCGTCGAGCTAGGAGAATACTCGTCGTGTAAAGTGACGATCCCAGGGAAATCAGTGTATGCGTATAGACTCGCCGAGTCGCTATAGTGCACTCACCGAGTCCGATCAAAGTTGACCATTGACCATTGACCAGTGTTGACCTATGTTGACTTGTTAAGGAATAGTCAACCCTAGTTATGAAGTGTTATTTAGAGATGTATTGTGTTATAGGAGGACTCTAGATCGGGAGATCGAGCACGAGTGATTTCAGGGACTTGCGAGTTACCGAGATACGCGAGGTGAGTCTTCTCACTATACTTTACCTTGAGTAGGTAACCAGAGTTATGTGATAGAGTATTTGTATGCTGTGTATATTATGTGTTGCACTGCATTATTTCTATGTGATTTATGATGTGCATGTTTACAGAGTTAGAACCGGAAGGTTCCCAGAGTTAGAACCTGAGGGTTCACAGAGTTTGGGTGCACGGACCCACAAAGTTATAGCCTCGAGTGGCTAATATGTGTTATATGTGGTATTTTGGGGAACTCACTAAGCTTTGTGCTTATAGTGTTTGGTGTTATTTGTTTCAGGTACTAGTGACGACCGTGGGAAGGCGCCGGCTTGATCAGTACACACGCATGGGATTTTATGATTATGAGATCTTGGGATATTTGTATAACTTGGATTAAATTTCAAACATGGTTGTTTATGATTATTAAGTGAATTACGTTTTTATAAAATTTGAAAATTTTGTTTTGAAATTTCGGTGTTACAAGTTGGTATCAGAGCCTTGGTTTGAGGGATTCGGGTACACCTTCGGGAGTATTTGAACTCAAACTGAGGATTTGGAAAATATTTTCAAAAGAAAACCAAATTTTCTAAAAAGGTAAAAGATTTCTAGAGAAATTCAGAGAAGAAACATGTGTACGATCAGTCAGCGCCCGAATGGTGATTTCCTAAAATACCCTTATATTATATGTTTATGAGATTGTTATGATGTATTCTCTTGCTAGAGTAGGCTAGGTATTCCTATTAGGACTAGAGTGCCTTGATTTGTGATGCCTTAGCCTAGGGAGAGGTGAGCTGCTATGAGATGCTTGAGAGTGAATAGGTAGCAACGAGGAGCTTATGAAAGATCTATTAGAAAGTGATAGAGTACTTGGAAATTTGGAATTCGAAGAGGAGAATTCAGGGTGTATACTGAAACGTGTGTGGACAGTAGTATTGGGCCCGTACTACTGAAAGCACCGTGGCGGTGTACGGTCCGAATAAGAATCTTCGGAATGCCAAGGATCAAGGAGGGATGAGTTGTCGAGTGTGAGTATGCTCGAATGGATTCTAAATTATCGTATGTTGTATTTCAGAGGTTGATCATGGTGAGGACACGTCATATGCCAGAGGGCGTTGGGGCTAGTGATGAGGAGATCCGCCAGATCATTCACAAGGAAGTGGCTGCGGCCATTAGGGCAGAGATACTAGAGATGTTCGGGTCTATTAAGACCACGCTTATTGAGACTTTCGACGAGCGTTATGCTGCTCTTTCTGAGGTTGCCGTTGTGGCGGCCACCGCAGCTGTTGCTGCTGCGAGGCCGCATGGTGGTGATGCGTTGCTGTTCCGGGAGTTTAGCAACACGAAACCACCAGAGTTTGATGGGACCCAGGACCCGGTGGCGGCTATGAGATGGATTTCTGACATGGAGGGGTGTTTCTTCACTTGATCAGTTGCTCATCTCCTGAGCATTTGAGAGTACGGTTCGCGTTGAACCAGCTTCGCTTAGGAGCGAAGGACTGGTGGAAGTTTGTGACGGCGCACTTTACGTCTGCTGAGCTTGTGGCGGTGACCTGGGAGAGGTTCACTGCCATGTTCCGAGATGAGTACGTTCCCCAGGTGGAGAGGGAGCGTTTGTCCCAAGAGTTTCTGACCCTTAAGCAGGGTACTGAGTCTGTTACGGTGATTACCAGGATGTTCCACGAGAGGGAGATGTTCTGCCCTGAGCACGTGTCCACTGAGCAGGCACGTATGAGCCGGTATTTGAGTATCTTGAGGCGAGACATTCGGGAGTTCGTGGCGAACTCCTCGTACTGGACATTTGATGAGCTTCAGGAGAATGCCCGGAAGAGGGAGATCGAG